ATAGACAGTGAAAAGGCGCCGTGTCTTTAATTCTTGTTGTTACAAAGATCAATCATGCCCTTTCTCTTACTTCATGTAATCCTCAAAGTACAGGGACCAGTATTTAGGAATATCCGAAGGGGAGCCATTTTAAATTTAAAATAGGACAGACTGTGTATTGAAGTTGATAGTGATAATTTCACCCTTTTTTTCTTTTTTTTTAACCCTTTGAAATTTTTATTGTATGCCTCCTTGACACCACCACCCAGTGTCAGTCGTCCGAAAGTTTCGCCGAATTATAGTTTCAATAGGGATATCAGAAGGGATACTAATGCGATATTAAAAGGCGGATAGGATGGCTAAACAGAGACCAACATAAGTCGCTGCAAATAACACCCTTTTCTTTTACATACATGGGCCATGTGGCTCAGTGAGTAAGGCGCTGGTTCACTAACCAGGATGTCCATGGTTCGATCTCGGTTATAGCCTAGAAAGTTCCTTGGGATTTTCAAGTGTGGTTCCCCTTGTTAGTGGTAGCTCAAGGGAGAGTATATAGGTTCCTTTTAGATAACTGTTTTGTTTTGCGTTGGGCTAGTTGGGTGGGGGCCTAAGATAGCGGGAAATGTGATAATGTTGATATAAACGATAATGTCTAAAAATGGCGGTAAAGTTGATATGTTCATATCAATGATAGAGAGAGAGAGAGAGAGAGAGAGAGAGAGAGAGATTTAACGCCCACTCAACACAAACTAGGTCATTTCGGGAATAACATTGTTCAATTTTATTTCAATAATTCGCTTGCGCGTAGGGGGGTCTTTAGCAGTGGGAGGAACCGGTGAACCCGGGAAAAACCCACCACGAGGTTAGACAGGCGACCCTACTTCTTGTCAGGTACGACCGAGGAATCGAAACCACGCCAGTTGACTCAATTACAGACCTTATGATACAACGCGCACAGGCGGTTATAGGCCAGTAACTTTTTTGTAGTCAAATGACAACAAAACTTGCTCAAAGGAAGGCCTTAGGACAATCCACTACTGTAGCTGGAGCAAGGCGGAAGACATCAGTAGTGGAACCATTTCTAGGTCTAACCCTAAAAGAACAATGCCTAGTTGCTCGGATATAACAAATAAACGAGGTCGTGTGTACACGTTGGTGTACAATTTAAAGAACGTTTGACAGATGGAATTCAACGAAGAATAAACGGAAACGCCGTTGTCCAGGCAAAAATTTCCTACACACCATACCGCATGGCGTATTCCCGGATGCATTATCCCGGTTGGTGCAGAAAAATAAGGGCGCTAAACTCACTTTTAACATTTTTTATGTAATGCAGTCAGAGTGCATTGTTTTGGGCGACCTTCGGTAATAATTTTTTCACGATTAGTGGTCGGAACTAGAAACCGAACGCGAATGGTCTGGATCATCGTCTGTTCAAAGATGGCTGCCCCCAGGGAAATGGCGATGTCATTTTACTCTGCTTTAGACCTCGACCATAACCCTGAAAAAAAAACCCTTAACCCCAAGGAAGGTCTATACATCTCTACATGAAGGATAATGAATCGCTGTGTTATATAGTTTAATAAACAAATAATACTTCATGAAGTTAGTTTTGCGCGACTCAAATTAATTTTAGAGACGACAAAATTCCATGTAACTTGACTTTACTTTTTGCATAGCGCAAATATTGAAATAATGCGTAATTTTTAGACTTACATAGATTCAGACATAACACACGAGACAAAAAATATCTGCTCATAGAAGTAGCAACCATTTAAAATTCATTCAAGCTTTCTTAAAATCATATACTTAACAAAAATAGATTCTTTCTACATATTTTACACTTTCGTTTCATCGACATCGCCATCTTGGAACTACTCCGACCACGCCACAATAGCATGGTGCAGTATTTTCGGACTATGGTCCGGACTAAATGAAATTCGGATTCATTTAGTTCGACCATAGTCAAGAATCACGATAACCGAAGGTCGCCTATAATACACTTCGAATGCGATTCGATATTTCGCCAAGTTTTGAGCATGAACAAAGCATTCGGAGCGACCACAAGAATGGGACCGAATATCTAGTATGCACTCAAGAGAAATTTTAGAATGCAGGATTATACAACCAATGAAGTCCCTTGCCAACAATAATGCAAGGGAGGCAACTCCACTTTCAGGAAGCAAATTTTAAATTATTTGGCCACAGATCACTAAACATTTGCCCATTGACTTTAATGTTAATTCTCGTCTATTAGACCGGCTCTAACTTTTTCCCAAATTTTCGTTGGGTAGAACGCTTTCTACCACAGATGGAGCAACATGTGGCAACCTCTTGCCCAAAAGCACGTATGAGGTTCACCATGGAAAACTTGCGATACACAAGCTGGAAGTAGAGACAAAAAAACATGCAATTTCGGACCCTACATTTCAACTCTTGTATCCTTCCGCCTCAAAATCATGAATATTCACCAAAACCTGGTAGAAAATGTATTTTCAAACCCTTTTCTTCGATTCTACACCAAAAAGTCAACAAAAATCGCCATGCAAAAGGGGGAAAAGGGAAAGGGAGAGAAAGACTAAAAATAACTTTTGCCCTAATATTTGGCGAGCTGTGTCCATTTGTCTAGGTTATCGGGTGTGACCATTTCTTTCTTTCGCCAGGATCGTTAAGGGATGCACATCTAAAAAGAGAAGCGACTCTGTCAGTTCGCATGGGACAGAAAACCAAGTTCCTGTGTACACATTGGCGTGCACGTAAAAGATCCCTCGATTGGTGGAAATAGAAATACAAGTAGGCTGTAGCTACTGACCCATGACCAGGCACAATTTCCCTCATGGCACAATTTATGTCAGTGCAGAAAAGTAGGACGTTAAAACCCCATTTTATTTCATCTCCTGGACAAACTATATTATTTGAAAAATTAACCCAGTTGGAGCACTGTGTATCAGCTAAATCGTCCGTGCAGTCAACATATTTATGCTTTTGTAGGTAATGGGAGCATTTACAAGACACTGATGTCAATTTCGTACATATACTATTCAAAAAAAGTAGGGGATATTTGATTTTTAAGTGTTATTAAAGTCACCTAATGAAACTGACGAAGAAACAAATGACAAAATGAAATGAAGTTCACATTCATCGATTTATTCCAAATGATCGTTAGACTAAGTAAGGCACAGACTGACCATTATAAGGGTAAAATGATACCCGGGGTCAAACAGCAAAGTTACCACAGCATCACAACCAGATCAGTAACGGGTAAATAATCCTCTGTTTGCCAAACAAGCATTGATCCGACGTGGCATACTCCTAATGAGACGTCTAAGGTCATTTTGGTCCAGATTGTCCCATTCCTGTTGCAACGCAGCAGCAAGTTCTTGGACATTGGCAGGACGTTGTTGACGTTGACGTAACCTCTGTCCAAGCATGTCCCAGACATGCTCGGTGGGGGAGAGGTCGGGACTCAGTGCTGGCCAAGGTAATGTGGTGATGTTCTGTTGTTGGAGGTAACCTGTAACGATCCTGGCCCTGTGACATCTTGCGTTGTCATCCTGGAAGATGAAACGGCGGCCATGACGTCGTGCGAACGGCACAACATGGACTGCCAAGATGTTGTTCCGGTAGTACTGGCCTGTAACACGCCCTGCAACAACATGTAAAGCCGTTCTTCCAGCAACAGTGATGCCTCCCCACACCATAACAGAACCACCCCCAAATCGATCATGTCTGATGACGTTAACGTCTTGGAAGCGCTCGTTTCGACGACGCCACACCCTCCTACGTCTGTCCAAAAAATCAACAGTGAACCTTGACTCATCTGAAAACATCACATTGCTCCAGCGTCGATAATCCCAGTGTTGACGATCCCTACACCAACGACGTCTTGCCTGAATGTGATGATCTCTCAAACAAGGGATCACGCGAGGACGTCGGGCGCGAAGGTGACCCCTATGCAGTCGATTCCGAATCGTCTGGCCACTCACACTCACACCAGTGTCTGTTTGAAGACGAGCGCTGATCTGATTTGCTGTGATGACACGATTTCTCAAGGCCAAGGTACGGATAAATCGATCCTGGGCTTGAGTTGTCGCCCTTGGTCGACCTGAGCGTGGTCTGTCCTGTACAGATTGTGTATCACGGTATCTGGACCATAGCCTGCTTATGACAGACTGAGAAACATTCATCGTCCGCGCCACAATCGCCTGTGTTGTGCCGATCTGTAGCATGCCAAGGGCACGTAACCTTTCATTTTGGGTAAGCCGACGCATATCAAAATTTGTTTTCTGGTCACTAAAACAATTAAACTGATGTTTCCACCCTGGAATTCAATGCCACAATGACTGTAACATTCAAAGTCAGAGTCGTGCAAATCTTGGGTTGGACCCCCATGATGATCCCAAGCATCACCTGCATTCCATGCGGTAGCTATTGGTGCGTTTGGGCGTCACATGTAACTGGAAATGTTTCTTCTGTTAGGTTCTATAGTGACTTTTTTCGTAGTCATTTGCATATTTTAGTATTATGCCCCCAAAATCAAATATCCCCTACTTTTTTTGAATAGTATATGATAACTTTTGTGGTTAGTGCATTCACAAGGTTCAACAAAGTGAAACAAGGGCGATAACTGTAGAAGTTATATACGGAAATTGTTGAAATGCTATAGGATTCTTCGATTTACTAATCTAAATAATGCATATGAATTTAATACAGATATTCAGAATCGTGAACACACTACATTTATTATCTGAAATTTATATACATTTCTCACATTATTTAATTTCAATGATTTCCGTCAATTACTTCTAGAGTTATGTTCTTTGTTTCACTTTGTAGCCAATATACGACCACATTTCTATGTGATCCTATAAAAAATGAAATGGGGTTTAATGTCCTACTTATTATCGTATATAAAGGCTGTTGATTTGATTTAAAATAGATACTGACAATTTCCATGAGCTTTCCAGTGTAAATGCTAAATATTGGAAACAGATATTTTATGAAAAACAAACAAATACAAATTGAAGAAATATTTAAGATATTTAATATCAGTGAATGATATATACTGTGATAATTTCCATGAATTTTCTAGTTTAAGTACTGAATATTGTAAACAGATATGTTATGAAAAACAAATAAATGCAAAATGAAGACATATATTAGATATTAAATATCAGTCGATGTACATCAATTACAAGCCTTTCAAGGGCTATTGCACAAACCAACAGAGAGAAAGAGAGAGAAATGGGGTTTAACGTCCACTCGATACAAACTAGGTCATTTCAGGACTAGCACATAGGTCTATTTTATTTCAATAATTCGCTTGAGCGTAGGGGTCTTTAGCAGTGGGAGGAAACCAGAGGACCTGGGAAAAACCCACGAGGATGGACAGGCAACCCGCACCGGTTGACTCAATTTTATGATACAATCTGCACGTGCTAACCATTCGGCCATCCAAACCCAACAACCCAACAGAAAACAAATGAATTTTACCCATGCTCCGATTTCAAGAGGATGAAAATTAGCTCAAGCTGACATCTAATAGATGTAAACCCTCAACAATTTAAGTCAAGAAGAAATTTATGAACATAATGCTCCAGATCGACCATCAGTAAATAAAATAAGCTTATATTTGTATCTAGTCCTGCGAGATCCATTCTTCTAGCTAGCAGTCCAGACTTATTCCATGCTCTAATTTTCTCAAATTGATTATTTAACATTTAATTAAAAAAACAAAACCAGTTTGTATTCAATCTCAATCAGATAAAAAAACAGGCCAACAATTATAGGTGGCGCTGGCTTGTTTATTTATATCATTTATAGAGGATACCAAATGCTGCAAAATTCATTATAAATCTGTAAATGCTGAATGAAATTGAACTATATTTGGACTGAGAGATTCAACTACCACAATATTTTAGTTTACAAGGGATTAACAAGGATAGCAAATAATATATACATGCATGTAAATAACAATCAATAACAATATGAAATAATAATATATACCTTCAATAACATAAGACAAATAATATATACTTTCAATAACACAAGACAAATAATATACACTTTCAATAACATAAGACAAACAACAGACAAATAATATGGATAGACCTATAAATGTGCGTAAATAACAAGAAATGAAATGGGGTTTAGCGTTCTACTTTTCTGCTCCGACTTGGCTTATGAAGACGGGCATATGCAGTACAGTGACTAAGTGTGCTATGAGAGAAATTTTGACTGGACAGCAGCGCTACGACATACTTTTATATCGTATTTCAACTGTCAAGGGATCTTGTACGTGCACGGCAATGTGTACACAGGACCTTGATTTTTCATCCCATCCGAATGATTATATGTTGTCCCTACACCAGTGACAAGGGGGAACCATGCCACAAAATCCCTAAGAACTTTCTCGCCAACGCAGGGATTTAACATAGTACCTCCAGGTTAGCGAGGCAATGTCTTTCTCACTGAGTCACTGTGGCCTCCAACAATGAAAAGTCATATTATGGAATATAGGAGGATTTTATACCTTTTTTTATTACACCTAATGAAAATGGACAAACAATTTCTTTTTAAAACCGTAGCCTATTTATACCTTTTTTTATTACACCTAATGAAAATGGACAAACAATTTCTTTTTAAAACTGTAGCCTATTATATTGACATATTTTAATTCTAGAGTGCACTTTTACAAACAAAGAAAAAAATAAGCAATACTTGTTGAGACATGGAGTAAATTAGGTACATATATATATATAATGGGCTTAAATGCAAAACAAGGTATGTGTATAGACCAAAATGATCGCAGATTTAATTCCCACTCAATCAACAAAAACTATGATAAGTTGGGACTAGCATACTGTCAATTTCTATTTCAATAATTCACCTGTGCATAAGGATCTTTAGTACTTGGACTTAACTAGAGGACAGAGGGAACAAGCCAACAGTGAGGCTGATGTCCCCCGCCAAAATCCCCAAATAAATAGATGACACATATTAATTAATCGCACATTTATTTTTTTCAAAAGTTTCGAGCAATCAAACGACACACTAAGTTTCGTCACTCTGTATCATATAGAATCAAGATTATCTTGTCCCATAGCATTGACCAATGAAATTGATTAGCTCTGCTTAGCTTTAGCTTGAAATGTTAATCATTGAAATCAGTCAAGACATTCACCTAATGAACATCTACATCAGGTTTAACCATTCTACCTTAATTAAAAGCAGAGTTTTTATGTTCCAAAGTCTTGACCAATCAAATTGCTTATCGCTCCTTAGCCCAGGCAGAAAATTCGCACAATCGAACTTTGTCAAGGTAATGATATAATGAATCTATATTCAGAGTTTCATCGCTCTCACTTCATTATAACCAAAGTTATCGTGCCCTTAAAGCATCAACCCATCAGATTGCTTATCTCTGCCTACCGTAAGCAGACAATGTTCATAATCGAACTCCATCAAGGGATTCACCTAATGAATGCCTACACCAAGTTAAAACATTCTACCTCAATTAGAAGGAGAGTTATTGTGTTCCAAAGTCTCGACCAATCAAATTGCTTATCGCTCTGCTTACCCTCAGCAGAAAATGTTCATTATCGAACTTAGTCAAGGTATTGATGTAATAAAGCTATACACCAATTAAGTGTCCTCACTCTCACTTAATTAGAACTAAAGTTATCGTGTCCCAAAGCATCAACCAATCAAATTGCTTATCTCTGCTTACCCTAAGCAGAAAATGCTCATCTTTGAACTCCATCAAGGCATTGACCCAATAAACACCTACACCAAGTTTGAACATTCTAGCTCAATTAGAAGGAGAGTTATTGTGTCCCAAAAAGTGTGACGGACAGACAGACAGACAGATGGATGAACCCATTTTAATAGTCCCCTGCTTTCTGCAAAAGGCTGGGGACAACAAAGAAAACCAACAACATTAGGCAGGCGACACCATGTCTCTGTCATGTACAGAATTGGGATCAATGTCAGACTGCATGATTTAAAGCAAATGTGTTAGACCTCCACCCCAACCCCTTCTGCTGGAGTAAGAACTTGTACATTAAAGTTATAGAATTGCCAAGAATGAAATTAATGGCACGGTTCGATGTAGTTTACTTAGACTCTATTGGTATTGCATAATATCTTCTGACTCCTGTGGAACAGCAGTTTTTCCAGAAGTGTATGAGTAGTATCTTATGGGCAAAACCCGATGAATGTGCTTGATTACTGAGTTAATAAGTTACATGTATATACTTGAAGCACTGTACCCAGATGTAAATATTTGAAGCATGGCATCCAGATGTAAATACTTGAAGCACTGCACCCAGATCTAAATACTTGAAGCACGGTACCCAGATCTAAATACTTGAAGCAATGTACCCAGATGTAAATACTTGAAGCATGTTCATCACCTAGATGTAAATACTTGAAGCACGGCACCTAGATCTAAATACTTGAAGCACATACATCGCCCAGATGTAAATAGTAAAGTATGTCACCCATATTTAAATTGCAAATGGTTAATGATGAATTATTTATTCTGACAACTCCTCCTCACTGTCATCTTTATGTAAGGGAGGTAACTCTATGTCCTGTAATTCACGGTAAATATCGTCACAAACTATTCGCATACGTTTAACAAGATCTTCATCTTTACACTGCTCTATCCAAACAGCACATTGTTTTAATACACTATCTTTTTGTATGTAATAATGACGTTTGATCAAGTCTTCAAATCCTACACAAAAAAAAGTAAAATAGGTTTACCAACTATTTATATATTTTTTTGAAGATTACAATTTAATGTTTATATTTGATACAGACTGGACAAAATTAACTTTTATCAACAAATAATCAAGACACTACAAGGATATCAATATGATGTAATATAGTGGACAAAAAGAACACAGACATAGATTTGTTAGGTACTGGAACACACCCCCACCTTCAGCAGGAAAGTTGTTTGTGATAGGTCTAGAATCATTGCCAGGAAAAGCAAATATGACTGATGGAAAGAAATTGGTTTTAATGTCCTACTCCGAACTGGGCTAATGCAGACGGGCATATGCCATACAGTGTACTATGAGGGAAATTTTGCACTGGTAGCAGCACTACGGCCTACTCTTATATCGAATTCCAACTGTCAAGGGATCTTTAACGTGCACGCCAATGTGTACACAGGACCTCGATTTTTCGTCCCATCTGAACAACTAGACAGCTGTCCTTGTCAGACCCACCATCCTGCATCACTGAAAAGGGGGAATCACGCCAGAAAAATATGAATGATATTAGAGCCCTGATACAGAAGGTTCAAAAGCAACTACAACAATAATACGGTAGATAAGATGTTACAATATTTTGATATAATTAATATAGTACATATATACCTGGTGGAGGATGTCGTATATTACCCAGTATAGCATGACGTAATGTATGTAACTGTATTTTCCAGTTATACTGGCCACTTTGTTTCTACAAAAATAAAAACATAAATACTGTATACAACATACAGAAATCTCTTTTTCTATTTTTAAAAACTACAACAACATGTAAGACACCCCATTATATAACAAATGTTATCTATATGATTATATTAACAAATGTTATCTATATCATTAGATCAACAAATATTATGTTAACAAATGTTAACTACATCATTAAATAAACAAATGTTAACTGTATCATCAGATCAACAAATGTTAACTATATCACCTGATTAATAAATGTTAACTGTATAGATTAACAAATGCTAACTACATCATTAAATAAACAAATGTTAACTGTATCATCAGATCAACAAATGTTAACTATATCACCTGATCAACAAATGTTAACTGTATAGATTAACAAATGCTAACTACATCATTAGATTCATAAATGTTAACCATATCATCAGATCAACAAATAATAACTATATCATCTGATTAGCAAATTCTAACTATATCATTAGATCTACAAATGTTCCATTAGCTTCATAAATGTTAACTTTATCATTTGATTAATAAATGTAAAAACATCTTTAGATTACCACTTTCGAAGAGGTTATCCTTATCCTAGTTAATAAATCTGAATATACTTAGGAGTTGGAATTCAGTATTAGTGAGCAAAGGATTTAGAAAAATTATTTAAATCCTATAAATTTTATAGATAAATTTGTTAATATAGAGGATTGTTACCTTTCCATCCTCTGTTTCTCTCATACCATCATAACCTGGTTCATTAAACATAGGATCAGATGTTAATATAATACTCTGTATAGATACCAGTACCTTTAAATATAAACAAAACATGTTAATATGTATTAGGTTTCTATGGGGATGCTCGGTTGCCAGTCCTGAACATCCGGAATGAACAGAATTCCAATCGCATGACGCGGAATTCAGTCCTGTCACAGTTCTGTCAGTCCAGAAAACAGAGGTGGTGTGAGGAGAACCGTGACGTATTAAACACAACGAATATGTTTCAGCTGTCACGGTTGGTTGAAATATGTCCTTTGAGAGAATTAAATTCCAGAATGTTCAACTGAGCACCCCCTATATTACTCAATGACTGACTAATAAGGTTTCACACCTACACTGACATTCAGTGATTATTAAATGAAATGAAATGGGGTTTAACGTCCTACTGTTCTGCTCCTACTGGGCTAATGAAGACGGGCATACGCCATACAGTGTGCTATGACTGAAATTTTGGCCTACTCTTATTTTGAATTCCAACTGTCAAGGGTTCTTTTATGTCCATGTCAATGTGTACACGGGACCTCGGTTATTTGTTCCATCAATCCTACACCACTGACAAGGGGAAACCACGCTGGAAAATCCTGATGAACTTTCTCGGCCAATGCAGGGATTGAACACGGGACCTCCAGATTAGTGGGCCAACATCATACTCACTGAGCCATCGTGGCTCCCACATGATTATTAAATAATGAAGATAAAGTCAAGTAGCAAAAGGCACCAAAAGGTTGAAGTGTGTACAATGTTTTGTAAAGATATCATAAATGGTTTATGAGAAATGCTCCGGAAACAAAACAAGACTGATGGAGCCCATTTCAATATCCACTCCTCCCTCTATGTCATTCAGCACTCGATAAGTTAATTATAACAGTGAGTCAAGGGACCTGCAATGGCTCAGTGATTAAGGTGCTGACTTGCTAACAAGGATATCCTGGGTATGATCTTCGTGTTGGCCGACAAAATTCCCCAGGATTTTCTGGTGTGGTTTCCCCCTTAACAGTGGAGCAGAACCCATGACCATCTTCATAAACCCAGTTGGTGCATACAAGTTGGACTTTAAACCCCATTTCATTTCACTGCATTCTTTTATCATGCAGAATGAACTGGATATGATACAGATTAAACATATTGCTAACATCTGTAACTTCACAAAAGACACATTAATTAAATTATAGTTATCCTGAATTATCTTGACTGACCTGATAAAGACTAGAGTTTCCAGGATTCCATTTTTCACTGGCATCACCAGCATGCCAAGTTCCTAATAAACTTAAACATACTTTACCATCTGAATATAAGTTAGGATTAAATCTGAAATGAAGAGAGTGCTTTAATACACATCAGACCCTACATGAATATTTACTTTTATTTCTGTTTCTAGCAGCATCAAAATGAAGAGAAATTTAACCATAGTATCAGTCCATATTATGTCTCTGATGAGAAACGGAAATCTATTTCAAGTTCTGTTTCTGAATTATCTAAATAAATGTAACATATAAAGAACATATTTGGTAATGAGATGAAATGAAATGGGGCTTAACATTCTACTGTTCTGCAAAAACCGAGCTAATGAAGACAGGCATACACCATGTAGTGTGCTATACGAGAAATTTTGCTCTGACAGTTGTGCTACAGCCTACTTTTATTTCAAATTCTATCTGTAAATGGTTATTTTATAGGCACACCAACATGTACCCAGGACCTTGTTTTTGGTACCATCCGAATGACTAGACTTTGTTTCTTTCAAGGCCCTCAATCCTGCATCTCTGACAAAGGAAAACCAAAGGCCAACACAAGGATAGAACATGGGACCACCAAGTTATTAACCCAATGCCTTACTCAGCTAGCATTCGGGGCAAAATGTTCTATATACAACAGACTGCATAGCGTATGCTTGTCTTCATTAGCCCGGTTGGTGCAGAAGAGTAGGAAGAGAGAGAGAGAGAAATGGGGTTTAACGTCCACTCGACACAAACTAGGTCATTTTGGGAGTAACATATGGTTTATTTTTTATTTCAATAATTCTCTTGCGTGTAGGGGTCTTTAGCAGTGGGAGGAAACCGAAGGACCGGAGAAAACTCACAAAGTTGTACTGGTGACCCTACTCCTTGTCACATACAACTGGGGATTTGAAACCACGCAATGGCAGACATTATGATACAGCGCGCACGTGCTAACCATTTGGCCATCCAACCCCCCTCAAATGAGTAGGACTTTAAATCCTATCTTATTTTATTTCTGTATTTCTATGATATAACTATACCTGACTGTACCATTATCATTAGTTATTAGTTTAACTAATGGAGGATTATTATTTTTATGCTATATAGATAACAATAACTTTACCTGACTGTACCATTACCATTAGTTTAACTAATGGAGGATTATTATTGCTATATAGATAACAATATACTGTACCTGACTGCACCATTACCATTAGTTATTGGTTTAACTAATGGAGGATTATTATATCTATATATCAGATAACAATGTACTGTACCTGACTGTACCATTACCAGTAGTTATTAGTTTAACTAATGGTGGATTATTAGGATAGGATGTCGGAAAATAAACATCAAACAAAAAACAGCCACCACTATACGGTGTATCTACTGGTCCTGTTATCATAGCTCTCATTAAATCCATTCTATCTTCATCCTGATTATATAAAATAACAACATTATCTATATATCTGTGACTGAAATTTATGGGGGTATACAGGGAGTGACATATGCCTGGTAGCGTTGCAAAACCACTTAAGGTTTGGAGTTATACTATTTCAAGTGTACGGTCATGAAACTCCTATAAAGAAGTGTCAGAAGGCTGTAACTGTGTAAAAAGCATTCTAAACATACCAGTTCAATTCAATTCCATTCAGTATGCATGACAATATGATGAATTGAAATTTTATAACAGATGCCTTATTCTACAGAGGATATAAACAAGCCAGCACCCCCTGTAAGTGTTGGGTGAAATCTTATGATGGTTCTCTTTAATCTGATAAATCCAAACCAGCAGATTATCTACCATTAATATTTTAGCTCAGATTGCTTAATTAAAGTGGCATTATGCAAGATTTAGATAAAGAGCTCACAGTTCTTGCTATAATAGTTAAAACAGATAATGAAAAGAGTATATTTTGAAATTTTCAGTCAAATTACTTTACTCTGAGCCAAGGAATTGGCGATATAATAATAGGCTAGCCTCAAGTGTCATTAATACCGTTGTTACGAGAATAAACAAGGTATTGATTATCCATTTTTAAAGTAGTCGCATCCAACAGAAAACATATTTGAATCCACTAAATACTGCAGGCATCCGAAGGCAGATTTAGCTCTTGCATAATGTATGTTTAAAATATGAAATATTAGATATTGTCAGCAGCTTTAAAATTTGATTTAACACTTTGTCCTACTTAACCATGACCCTCAAACTAACAAGGAAAGTGAGAGAAATGGGGTTTAACACCCACTCAACACAAACTAGGTCATTTAGGAACTAACATATGGTTCAATTTTATTTAAATAATTTGATTGCGCGCAGGATTCTTTCAAGTGGGAGGATCCAGATAAAACCCCCAAAATTGGACAGGCGACCCATCTTCTTCATTACGTACAAATATGTGACAGACTCACCTGACGGACATAGATAGCAGCATGTGGATGAACAGGTAAATTCTGTTGAAGTTGTTTCATTTCTTTCATCAAAGTTTTTATTTTTGGTGATCTGAATAGAAAAATACATCAGTTTGATTTATTGTGATTATCATGCAGGACAACAAATAATCCTGGATTTTCTTGGGTTATTGTTGTTGGTATAAAGACTACAAAACAAGGACAGCCACACATTCTCCCTTAAGCCTGACGAGTTTGAATTAAAACAAAACAAGTAGCTTACTGAGCGCAAGGCTGTTTGCCACTCAGCAACTTTTCTTTTACCTGATTTCTGGGAATCTAGTCTATTATTATCACAAATTATTCACAAATTTCTAAGCGTTTTACACATCACCCCAATAATATCAATTTTATTTATGCTACTTTGATATCAAAAGACAGTTAGGAAGCCCTTGGTTTGATGAGTAGAGCTAGAGCTAACTAATCAGGGTGTCCACTGTTTAATTGCGGGGTGGGCCAAGAAATTTCAGAGGATTTTCTATTCTGGTTTCCCCTCGTCATCGGTGCAGGATTGAGGACATGGCAGGGAAAAGCATACAGATGGAAAACTGTGGTTTTATGTATAACAATTGGAAAACTGAAAAGAGAGTAGACCATAGTGCCACTGTCATGGCCAAATTGACTTGCATAGCATGGCGTATGCCCATTTAGTTATTCAGGAAAATAAGAGGTGTAAAAACTGCATTTAGTCAAATCAGAACTGCCTGAAATGATTGTTCATTAGCTGTTTGACATACCCATTGAATTCTTAATGTTATCAACATGTTGACTGTTGTTTCTCAGAAGAATTGGATTTGTAAATTTTGTAAATTATGCTTAAGAGCAAAACATTCTACTGGCAAATAGTAAATAAACAACAATGGTAAAATCGGATTATTGAACAAAAATAATGTCATTTTAAATTGATTGAAAAGAATTTAAATATTTGTCAAATTGTTGTTTTACCTTGGATCCATGGCCTGAACATTACTCTGATAACTGTGTGATTCCTACAATTAATATAAATATCTTATCTATTTATATAAAACAATTAATATAAATACAACAATTAATATAAATACTACATTTACAAATAGAGAGAGAGAGAGAAATGGGGTTTAACGTCCACTCGACACAAACTAGGTCATTTCGGGACTAACATATGGTTTAATTTTATTTCAATAATTCGCTTGCGCGTAGGGGTCTTTAGCAGTGGGAGGAAACTGGAGGACCCGGAGAAAACCCACGAGATTGGACAGGCGACCCTACTCCTTGTCACGTACAACCAGGGATTCGAAACCACGCTAGTTGACTCAATGACAGGCCGTATGATACAGCACGCACGTGCTAACCATTCGGCCATCCAACCCCCCACATTTACAAATAAAATCATCTTGATAATAATGTTTGAACCACGGTGGCCTAGTGGGTAAGACGGTGGCCTAGTGGGTAAGACGGTGGCCTAGCCTAGAGGTCGCGTGTTCGATCCCTACATTGGCTGAGAAAGTTCATCAGGATTTTATGATGGGGTTTCCCCTTGTCAATGGTGCAGGAACGGGACCTGACAAGGACAGCTGTCTAGTCGTTAAGATGGGATGAAAAACCCAGGTCATGTGTATACATTGGTGTGCACGTAAAAGATCCCTTGGCAGCTGGAATTCGATATCAGAGTAGGCCATAGTGCTGCTGCCCGGGAAAAATTACCCTCATAGCACACTGTATGGCATATGCCCGTCTTCATTAGCCCAGTTGGAGCAGAACAGTAGGACGTTAAACCCCATTTCATTTCATTTCATTTTATTTCATTTTGATAATAATGCTCACAAAAAAGGTTAAATTAAAATAGTTTTTCAAATTGATTTAAAGGGGAATATGATCAGTTTGGCATTCCCTGCAGGAAATATTTCAATTCAGAGAATTTCATTTTTACCGGTACCAGTAATAATACAACTAGACTTTGTCAATACCAGGCCCCCTGTCCTGCACCACTGACAAGGGGAAACCATGCTGGAAAATCCCGGAGAACCTTCTCGGCAAACACAGCGATCAAACCCTGGCCCTTGTGGTTATCGAGCCAGCATCTCACTCATTACACCAGTGCTGCTCTCTAAAACAGGAACTTGTGGGATCAGGCCCGTAGCATACATATACATTGTCCGTCAATTTTACAGCACCCCTGAGAACACTTCCCGCCCCCTCATTGCTCTGAGCTAGTTATGGTCCTGTGTGGAATTGTGTCCCTGTGTCCTGTATATGTCATGTAATGTATTGTGTACTCTACATAAAACATTCAATAAGTATTATACTTACTGCCAAGTTGGATGTCTCAAATCTTAAAGAGGCCATTAAATCAGTGTATGATTTGACTATTTGATCTTGATTAATTTCCATGGTAACAGCATCTTTCAACCAATCAAATTCTTGTTTAGATATAACCTTGGATGAACTTGCACTATTTTGAAATTCTGTTAACTATAGAGATAAATAAAATTAGCTGTGTATTATGAAGATTTCAAACTTTCCAAGTGATGTCATCATTTTAATGCGCCTTATATGCCTATGATTAAAGCAGCTTTATTCAAGAGCTAAATCTGACTATTGCAGGTCTTTCTTTAGGCCTTAAATCTTGTATAAATTATTAATTAGACATTAATTAATACTCAAGACCATAATCAACTCTCGATGCCAATCGGATGGCTTTGAGTCAACTGGCGTGGTTTTGATTCTCCAGTTGTACATGTATGTGACAAGGAATAGGGTCACCTGTCCAACCTTATGGGTTTCCTCCCACTACTAAAGACCCACTGCTAAAGAATTATTGAAATAAAATTGAACCATACATTATTTTCAAAATGACCTAGTTTGTGTCAAGGGGACGTTAAACCCCATTTAGCTCTCTCTCACCATGGCTCCTCTACTTTGATGTAATATAACAAACAAAGTAACCACTTACCTCAACTATCAGATTAGCGAACTGATCAACAAACTCTTCACCTGTTAATCCTTTGCTATAAATAACCTCAAAGGCCTTCTGGAAAGCCTCAAGTTCAAAATCAGAATCTTCAGCCAGAGCTTGTTTAAACCCACTTTCACTTTCTTCATTCTTACAAATATGGAGAATAATTTTGACAATGTTCGTCAATAATAACTTGGGGTCAAAGTTGTATCTGAAAAATATTATTTAAAGTCGCATTTCATGATTTTAACACTATAGAATCCATTGTATGATTTTAGTGCTATAGAATTGATTACATGATTTTAGCTCTATAGAATCCATTGTATGATTTTAGTGCTATAGAATTGATTACATGATTTTAGCTCTATAGAATCCATTGTATGATTTTAGTGCTATAGAATTGATTACATGATTTTAGCTCTATAGAATCCATTGTATGATTTTAGTGCTATAGAATTGATTACATGATTTTAGCTCTATAGAATCCATTTCATGATTTTAGCTCTATAGAATCCATTGCAAACTAAAATATTGTGAAAGATGATTCTCTAATTGGGATATCAGTCCAGAAACGGTTTAATTCCATTCAGTATTTACAAAGATATGACGATTTGAAAATTCCATCCATCTTTTCTGCTCCCAATTGTAACCAAATTGGTGGGCCTGTTTTAAGTCTGATTGAATTCAAGCTGGGTGATTATCGAGCGTTGGTATTTTGATTTTTTTTTCTTAATTAAATGTTCAATAATCAATAATAAATATTAGTGTGGATTAAGTTGTGAGAAATTTGATATTTTCCCAAAAATGTAAATCATGCATTCTTACTTTAATAAAGATTAAATCTGAAGTGTTAACAAGATTTGAAAATCAAGGGACATAACTGTAGGAGTTATTGTTTACCAATCTGAACAATTAAATAATCAAACGTTTAATTTATAATTAAAAGCTGAATTCACAATACTGTACCATAAACAAAAACATGAAAAGTGAATATAATTTGCAAAGTTTCTGCGGTTATCAAAAATGACAGTCAAAATATTAAAGTGGAAGCTCTGCTTAAAACATCAGACCATTCATTGTTCATAACCTTCTAAGAGAAATTGGTTTAGGTTATACAGATTAGCCAATGCTTATAACTAACTTAAATATAAAATGTTTCATACTTAGCCATATTTTTAACTTTATAATCTTTTGCTTTAGCACCACATAATGACAGCAAAAATCCACAAATCTGTAATTAAAATACAAACAAATAAATGTAGGCCTTTACAAAACAATGAGTGTATCGTACTGTGAGCGTACTGTATATTGTTAGTGTACTGTGAGTGTACTGTATATTGTTAGTGTACTATGAGTGTACTGTGAACTTACAGCAGAAGCAGATCGTTGGGCTAGTGGATTTTTGTTAAAACAAGCAGACACAACTTCTTCTTCAGTCAGTAGTAAAATAAAACTTAACGTTTGATTGGCCTGAAAAAATAAAATATCAAAGAACAGTCAATGATAAATGAATAAGATGGCAAATAATTTTAAAGTAAGTTATTACCTTTTCCTGCATAAAATTCAAACAAAAGCTGAAAACAACTATTTAGAAAAGCCCTCTTAAAGACAAAAAGAGAGCTAGGTTTATTGAATTGGTATATTTGTGGGACATTTCATTTCAGACGACAAAGTTAAAAACTGGTCTAATTATCGCCAGTGTTTTAAACCAGTAACTGTACTTGTAAGAATGAATTAAATAAACGATCAGACTTACTCAAGTAAATTATTGTTATAAACTTACTAAAGTAAATTACTGTTATTCACTTACTAAAGTAAATTATTGTTATAGATTTACTCAAGTAAACTATTGCTATAAACTTACTCAAGTAAACTATAGTTATAAACTTACTAAAGCCATAAAACCTCTTCCAGCATGTTCTTCATTAAGTAGAAATAAAGTTCTATCATGTTGTTCTTTAGATGACAGAGCATTCCATTCACTAACTGAAAAATAACAAATATCTGATAAAAGACTAAGAAGTGAACCACCTAAAAACAATCACTGTAAAGACTTGAAATTAAATGGGGTTTAACTACTTTTCTGCACTAAATAAGCTAATGAAGAATCATATGCCATACAATGTGCCATGAGAGGAATTATGCATGGAAAGAATTGTTTCTGCCTACTGTTTGCTGAATTACAACTCCCAAAGGTTAGTTTACATGAGACTTTGATTTTTTTGTCCCATCTGAATGACTAGACACTATTCCTTGCCAGTCTCTCTATCCAGCAGTGTGTGTGTGTACAGTTAATAAACAGTTCTGATTCTACATTGCTGGTTTCCAACAAAACATGTACAAAAAGGCCACTACAAATATCAACTGTAGTTCTTCAGGAACACCTGGTAAAATTTTGCTTCCCATTAAAACCCCAAACATAATCGCTCACAAGACTTAAGAGGCGATTTATTTCACAAAAACCTGAAGAATCAAAAATGAAATTGGCTTGGCCTGAATATATAAAATCATACCATTATCTTTAGCTAGTTCTGATCTTTTAACATTAGCCATTCTAGATAAAGCATCATGTAACATATATAATAATGTATCCAGTATAGCACCTAGAAAATTCTGATAAAAAAAAAAAAAATCATTAAATTCAAATCTTTTAATACATTTATATGAAATAACAAATAAGACATAGATTAAATAAGACATTGTTATCAATTTAAGAGGATAGCAATTCTAATTCTTTCGAACCCAGAATCTTGATTACAGAGTTAAAATATCAGATCCTTGTCATGTAGAAATATGCAGAGCCTTGGTCATATTTACAATTCTGGTCTGATCACTGATAATCAATTACACGCTGTGAAATAATTGGATAATGCTAAAAGTTTTCATATTCTTTGAAGAAAATATCTTGCTAATATATGGTAAAGACAATAATAGTATGTCAAAAAGTGAAGGCTAGTAAAATTTTCAGTTGAAAGCGCTGATTAACAGTATTGCATAGGAAAATGCTTGTCTATGCTAATAGTGCAGTGCTTATCAAACTATTTCAATGTCAATCACACTTGAGTCTTTGTCATGAAACTGCATTCATTAGTTCTAAGGGTAATTTTCCCTCTCATTTCCATCACACGAAAATAATTTGATTCACACTTGGGGTAGAACCATTCACTACTTTAAGTAGCATTGAGAGATATGTGTGGACATACAAGTAGTTATCTCACAGAATATGATCTTCATGTTGGATATTCTCATTATCCCATTGTTTGCCCATTAAATAAATCATTAACGATGCATTATGTAATAGCTTAATCTGCCTATTGCAGGTCTTTCATTTTACTTCAAATTTTATATAAATAGTTATATAGACATTTATGCACATCAGATGGCCAAGATTTGAAATGGATTAGAATATCCGCACCATTTAATCCGTTCACAATAAACTGGACAATCAAGACTGTTTATTATCATAGCAATGGTACTTGACAATCAAGACAATTTAGACCCAATCTTCTCAAAACTTCAAACATTCATAACTTTGCTCAGAATAAAGTAATTTCACTGAAATTTGTGTAATACATGTAATTCATTTTCTATGAACTATTATAGCAAGAACTTTTTATCTAAATCTTACATAGTGCATCTTTAAATTAATTACTGACAGTTCTTATAAAATAAAACTAACTTGAAATTGTGGTGTTAAATGTTGTTGTAATATAGAGTGCTTACAATCTGGTCTGTCCCATAGATGCCGTATCAACTGACCTATCTGTGACCTGTATATAGAGAAAATTCATATTATAACATTTGTATTCTGGATTGTTCTTTCTTGACAGGATTTTACAATGTTTATTTCATTCGATTATATCTAGACAATAGAATGTCTTCCTATTTTATTTTATAGAATAGTATGCATCAGAGGAATGGAATAAATGGGGTACATGAGATTATATATGTACTAGAGGCATATCATGATGTAGTTTAAAACAATTTCCATAAATAAAGGCTATGAATAATCTCTAAGAAAATTTACAAAATCAAATAATTAGATTCGCCGACTTTCAAGAACTTTTAGTCATTCCAATGTCGAAGAAATAAAAAGGTTTTATATTACGATATTTTTATGGAGCAACGTACGTCAAGACCTAACCAATTTAAGAATATGTGTGTGTACCTATTGGTCTTTGATAATTGAGAGTGACAGGTTATTTACTGAAGCGACATGTAGGCCTATGAAGATTTAAACATTTTGAGGCTTGATAAGTTGCATTACAGGATATAGAGTGATGCATGGAAAGGCTTCTGAGACTGTATGGGATGGTTTGGGGATACATGGGATGATGTACATGATGGGATAATGGACAGGTTGGATTGGATAATGTAAAGGACGCATGGGATGATGTACTGGAAGGGGAGAGAGAGAAATGGGGTTTAACATAAACACAAACTAGGTCATATCGGGACTAAAATATGGTTCAATTTTATTTCCATAATTCATTTGATTGTAGTGTACAGGATAAATGGTGTGATGTATGGGATGATGTACAGGATACATGGGGTGATGTATGAAATGACGAAAACAAGGAAAGTACCAACCTAGCTGTATATTTATCGAACTCATCTTTATCAACATCTAACCCTTCTACAACATCCACACTGATATAAGTATGTAATAATGCTGGTCCTAATTTACTCTGTACCGTAGGACTAGTATGTACCATTAATCCTAGATCAGACATACCTGATGTACCACTCCATCCACCAGTACCTTGACTACAAATAGAAAAATCTTTAAAGCTACAATTTCATATTTTTAATTTATATTTTTAAAATGTATTAAAGCTGGAATTTCATATTTTTAAGTTATATTTTTAAAATTTATTAAAATAAAGCCTTGAAATAGATTGTATCCATAAACCATCCAACCTTGTTAAAGAATAACCCTATTAATCCTATAAGTCACTATTGCCAGCTGAGAAATTGGCAAAAATATCATTTTCAACTTCAAATTCCAACGTTTGAAGTTAGCTAATGCATGGAGGCAATAGGAAAACAAGGGAGGTAATTGTGTTATTATTTCCCCGTGTCAATGATTTTTAAGGGTGGGATATAATGCCCATGGTCGTATAATAATGAGTTGATAACCTATTGAGCAAAAGACATAGAAATAATTATGTTTTGACTTTCTTAGAAAATATGAAATTGTAACTTTAAAATAAAGCCTTAAAATCGATGCTATGTATAAACAGTCCTACCTTGATAATTTAATCCTATTTATCCTACAATTCACTATTGCCAGTTGAGAAATTGGCAAAAATATCATTTCCAACTTCAAATTCAAATTTGAAGATAGCTAATCCTTGAGTGGCATTTAGCGATTGAACACATTAAAAAACACAACACGTTTATATGGAAATACAATCACTGGTTTATAAGTATAGCACGACGTTTCGACAAGTATTCTCTTATCGTTATCAAGCACAAATGCTATACTTATAAACCAGTGATTGTATTTCCATATAAACGTGTTGTGTTTTTTGAAGATAGCTATTCCATGGTAGGGAATAGAAAAACAAGGGAGGTAATTAGGAGGTAATTGTGTTATTATTTCCGGTGTGAAACATTTTTGAGTGTGAGAATGATAACTATGATCGTATAATAGTGAGTTGACAACCTATTGAGCAAAAGACATAGAAATAATTATGTTTTGACTTTCTTAGAAAATATGAAATTGTAGCTTTAACTCAAATCTCAATCAGTGTGAGGGATCTTAATTATGTAAATATCAGTTGACAAAAAATCAATTACACATTTTTTTAAAGTCACACTTGCATAATATGATTAATCCCAAGAGATTGTGGTGTGTTATTTAATTTATTAGCTATATCTTTTGTATTATATTTTCTACAAGGGCAGGATGTTAGAAAGGCTGTTATAGCCTAATCTTCAACCCTTCTTAAATAAAGTTATTATTATTAAGCAATTATAAAAAAATTGATGTGAAATTATATTTCCAGTACATGACTAAATGTAATAATTTAATTCCAAGGTTGAATTGGATATAAAATGAATCTTATGACTTTAGAATCCCATCAAGATCAGAACAGAAATTCAAAGCAAAGTGTATGGCGCTATGGCGTGTCGCATGTGCAGCTCAGTGGTTCTGTTGGGGCGATAAGTTCTTCATCTGTGAACATGCTCACAGAGCATGTAAAGTGTCCATGACTATTTATCATACCACAACCTGCATAGGTTGTGTTTTTTTACCTGCATAGGTATTAGCATTTCAATATCCCTTACTTTTTTTTGAAGAGTATATTAGACTCTGTGTGTTTTATGTGTGGAATACATCATGTCCCTTGGTTTGTGTTCTAGATTCTGTGTGTATGTGTATAGCCGTTCTATTAGACTGTCTGTGTGTTATGTGTGGAATGCATCATGTCCCTTGATTTGTGTTCTGGGTTATGTGTGTGTAGCCGTTCATTTAGACTTACCGATTATGTTGTGACGACTGTACAAAGAGTAATAATGTTGAGACAAGTTTACTGGCTACAATAGGACCTGGCATAATATCAGGTCTTTCCAATAACATTACACAACAATCAACAAACCTGGACAACTAAAACAAAAACAAAACATGGTTGCTACTGTAAAAACACAGTGTTGCTAGGCAACTTCAATTAACCCACCAGAGGCTTTTTTGAAGGGACCACGCTGGCTCGCTAGCCTTAGGTCGCGTGTTCGGTCCCTGCATTGGCTGAGAAAGTTCATCTGGATTTTCCGACCTTGTTTCCCCTTGTCAGTGGTTCAGGACGGAGATCCTGACAAGGACAGTTGTCTAGTCGTTCGCATGGGACAAAAAAACGAGGTCAATTGCTGATTATTCAGCAAATTTTTGAAAGTACAATTTTATTTCTCTTTTTATTAATAAATTATGAATATGATTATATGAAATATTTGAACTTACTTGCAATCCCCACATTATTCCTTTGTGTACGTGTACAGCATGTCCTGCTACAAACTGAAACCAAACGGCCATATCTTTTACACAGAATTCTGGGATTTGTTGAAATAGAAGACGCTCGTCTTTAAGTTTACTTTGCTTGTCACTATCCTACAATAGAAAACAATTTCTCAGAATTACGCGTATATTACATTTTCTTCAACTTCAAGAATCATATTTTCCTAAATGCTGACTATGTCCACCACCAGAAAAGTTTTCCATGCCAGATCTAAAATCAATGTCAATAAAGCAGAAATTCCAAAAAGTCCATCTAAGTATTAAATCCATCACTCAAAATCGAATGGAAATAAACTCCACAAAACATGTCTGAACCTTAATGGTGCATAACTCTGTGATTTATGATCAAAATATTCTTAATTTCACCTTTTCCACAATGAATAATTTCACTATGATTTAAAAAAAATTTGAAAACTTTGTGTTGCATTCATATATAATGCGTGCTGCTGGTTGCTTGGCATGACAGACTGGCCCCATTTCATACTTCATAATTATAGACCCAATATATATATAACAAAGTCAGGATCAGGATAACACTACTTGTATTATAGGAAATAACTAAATATACAAAACCATAGGTAAGCATATCAACGTACCATATTGACAGACGACCTACTCTCATGAGACCCAGAACTCCACTGTCCCTAACTGACCACCACACGTGCAGACTCACTATAGTCTCTTTCAACATTACGTCATAACGTCTGTATCAAATTAGTGGTTATACTAAATCACTCAACACTTTGAATCAAAAATTGAAAAATTCCAACAATAACTAGTACTCTATCACATTCACAAACTTTGGAAAGATAAAGCGATTGTAATCTGATAATTTTGAAATTCAATAGGGTTCTTCCTTACACAGAAATATGGTCTAAAAGGACACAGGTAATTAAGAGAAATTAGTTGACATTAAATGTGGATGTATAAAAAATTATTCATGGAAAATGTCCGTGACACATTATTTATGGATATTTTCAAATCAATTAACAAAAAAAAAACAAATAGAAAAGTTAAAGGGGACTTACATCATCATGTGATGTTAACTGTAGTAATAAATCAGCTTGTGTTAAATAAAACATTGTTATATTTTTAACCAGATCAACATCAGCTAAACTTGTTTCCCACATCATATTTAGTAACTGTAATAAATCAAACAAAATTTTATTCATTATAATTATAAATAGGCCTTAATCATACCACAGTACAGTCTAAGGAATATGACAAATAAAATGCTTATGGATATCGCTTCCTGTCATGGCAATAAATTACAAATCATTTCTAATAATTGTAATCAAACCATGTAGTAAGTCCTATTCAATAATTGTAATAAATAGTAAGCCCTTTTCAATAGTCACAATAAATGGTAAGTCCAATTCAATAATTGTAATAAATAGTAAGTCCAATTAAATAATTGTAATAAATAGTAAGCCCTTTTCAATAGTTACAATAAATAGTAAGTCCAATTCAAAAATTATAATAAATAGTAAGTCCAATTCAATAATTGTAATAATTAGAAAGTCCTTTTCAATAATTATAATAAATAGAAAGTCTTATTTCATAATCTAATTGTAAGAAATAGCTATATCTAGCCAACAGTTGTTTACATCAATAATAGCATTTTGTTGCTGCAGAGTCAAAAAGGTCAAATCCAAGTATTGTCAAATTGTCCAGGAAAGCCAAAATACGCATAGTGGATATGAATCATAATTTCGTATAGAAACAAAATGAGGTATTTGTACAGATTTCCGAAAATATTTCTGCAAAACTATGTATTGGTAGTAGATTAAACAGTGTGTAGCTATCTGTAAAATATCAGGGTAAACATCTTGTGAAAAAAACAGGAGTCCTAGTAATTTTCAATTTCATACAGCAAAGACATATCTCCAGAAAAGATTCATCTTTACCTGCTTCAATTTCATAGGTTTCACACAGTAGATGCTCAACGATAGTTTCAAAAGATACGCAATTAACCATGGTAGAATACTGGCTATATTTGGTTTGCTTGTAATGCATGGGTAGGTCACAAAGATGTTTTTTTCAATGAAATAGGACATTTTCTCTCTTAATGTTTATATCTTTTGGAACGACCCACATACAACACATCTTAAATACTGGACAGATATGAACCATTTTTGAACAGATATTAATATTCAAAAAATTGTTGTTTGCAAGAGATTTAAAATCCATGAAATGATAATCTGTCGATTGAAACTAGTTTAATACATTTACTTTATTTCTGAGTATCAAATTTAAATATTTTCATAATTCTATTTCTCTTAAAAACTTCAATCAGAAAAAATATTAGAACTTACCATATGAGTTCTTTTCACTTCATTTTCTTTAGGTGTATCTTTTACTGCCTGTATTTGATTGGACAAATCTCTGTAAAAAAAACAGATGACTTTATATACAAGAGCAACAACATTTATCTGAGTAAAATATTATTAAAATGAAATGGGGTTTAACTTACTACTGTTCTGCAATGACTGGGCTAATGAAGACAGGCATACGTCAAACAGCATGCTATGTGGGAAATTTTGGCCAGACGGTGGCACTAAGGCCTACTTGGGACCTCGGTTTTCCATTCCAACAGTACAACTGTACAGTGTCCATTGCCAGGCCCTCCGTCCTGCACAGCAGACCAGGGTGAACCATGCCGGAAAAGCCTGATGGACCTCAAGGCTTGCGAGCCAGCTTACTCACAGAGCCATAGAGCCTCTGTGTTATTTACATATATACTGTACATCACATCTGTAGATGAAAGGGGATGCCACCATATTTGTGGACAGTTGAACATTTTTAAAATCTGGATCTACCTCTTCTATACACTGGTGCAACAAGATGAAATTATAATGCTTTGTTCGATTTCATCAATAATACCTCTCTAATAGTTGGCAATGTTTAATAATAATAGTTGGTAATGTGTAATAATAATCGGTAATGTGTAATAATAATAATTGACAATGTCTTACAAGAATTGGTAATATGTAATAATAATTAGTAATGTGTAGTAATAATAACTGATATTAATATTTAATAATAAATGGTATTAATAATTGGCAATAATAAATGGTATTAATAATTGGCAATAATAAATGGTATTAATAATTGGCAATAATAACTGGTATTAATATGTAATAACAGTTGGTATTATGTAATGATAATTGGTGTCATGTCATATATTATGTAATGATTATTGATGTTATGTAATGATAATTGACGTTATGTAATGATAGTTGGTGTTACGTAATATATTATCAGTGTTATGTAATAATAATTAGTGTCAATATGTAATAACTCTTGGTAATGTGTAACAATAATTTGCAATATGTAATAATACCTATGCATATGATTATAATGTATTATAGCCGGTATAACTCCTATACTTAAAGCTCGCTGTGTTAAATGGAAACACTCTGTTATAAAGCTATGCTGATTCTGTAATTCTTCAGGTAAGGCACCAAATTTCTTTTGAATTTCTTTTTCTGAAACTAGAAGTTTTATTATAAAATCATTAACAATATGTTTAGATATCTGATGCCACTCTGTCAAGATTAGACATGTAATAAAAGGAAATGGGGTTTAATATCCTACTGTTCAGCTCAAACTGGGCTAATGAAAACGAGAATATGCCATACAGTGTGCCATGGCGCTATAGCCTACGCTTATATGGAATTCCAAATGTCAAGGTATCTTTTACGTGCATGCCAATGTGTACACACACAGGACCTTGTTTTTTTTTTTGTTCCATCCAAATGACTATATGGCGTCCCTTGCAATTCCCTCTGCTCTGCACCACTGACAATGGTGACAAGATTAGACATGAAACAAACATAAATGTTTATAGAAGAGTCAACAGGCTTTGTTACTAACAAGCTAAGTTTAGTATGGACAATGGGAAAAATGATGGCAAAATCAATTCTTTACACTGTGATAAGATTTTGTCAACTGATGGATATACCAAAGCTGAAATAACATCACAGTATATTATATATACTGTTGCTACATAATATATAACATTGCTGTCAGTCAATCAATTTCTCCATTCGGTTAAGTGGGCCACAGTGGCTCGGTGAGTAAGACGTTGGCTCACTAACCTGGAGGTCCTGTGTTTGATCCTTGCATTGGCTAAGGAAGTTCTTCGGGAATTTACGGCATCATTCTGCCTTGTCAGAGGTGCAGGACAGAGGGCCTGGCTAAGCACAACGTATAGTCGTTTGGATGGGACAAAAAAAAACCCCAAAGTCCTGTGTACATATTAGTGTGCATGTAAAAGATCCCTTGGCAATTGGAATTCGATATAAGTGTAGGTCATAGCGCCACTGTCCAGACAAAATTTCCCTCAAAGCACACCGTATGGCGTACGCCCGTCTACGTTAGCCCTGTCAGAGAAGAACAGTAGGAGGTTAAACCCTAATTCATTTCCATTCGGTCAATTTCACTGCCAGTCAATCATGATTGGCAAATGTTACTGTGTTACAGACTGATATATATTTAGAATAATGGTATGTATTGCGAAAATCATTTACTGATGAATTTTTTTTAAGGGCGAATTATTGAAATAAAATTGAACCATATGTTAGTCCCAATGACAAAAAATGTGCATATATTTATGGAATTTTTAAAAAAAAATTTGAGAATTAGATTCTTGATTGGTAAAAAAAAAATGTCTGAAGTTTTACCTATCTGCCCGCCAGCTAGACATGTTTCAAAATGGTAGTTCAATCTGCAAGATGATGATGTAGAATATCTTAAATCAATCTTGTCAATCTTTTCTTTATTACCATATATGGGTATAAAAAACTTTAACATAACAGCACAGAAATTTAACATAAAACCTGAAAATTAATATCAAAGATAGTTTGACAGGAAGTGAAACATACACATAGTAATGAAAACATGTAATTTTGTAGGAATATTACTGACATAAATTTAAATACCAGTACCGTACGGGAATTAAATATGAAAAATAGCGAGGTGCACAAATTATAGACAATTATAAGTCATCTGAGCTGCCCTAAAGGTTGTCACATTGTTTATTTGGTAGTTTATGGGAGCACTTACAAGATATTAAAACCTGATCAAGGCAACAAGTAATAATGGGAAATAATACAAAATTTCACAGGATTCTATTTCTTCCTAGCGTTAGCTAACATACACAAAACATGTATTGGCAATCAGATGAAAATGCAAGCTGTTTGAGTTATCAGAAATAACTAGGCATTGTAGTAAAGTCGGACAAAAGTACAAGTAGCAAATAAACTCCCACAAAACTCTATTACACAAGGGTATTATATAAAAGTTACGTCTTACCATCAGAACAGCAGGTCTGAGATTGTGTATCTGTAACTTGTAAAGATGCTGTTCGTAGATCATTTAAACCAATAACAGTGGCTAACCAAGCTAACCCCGCCTCACGTGTAGATTTATTACTCACCACCTTCTTTAAAGCGTTATAAATATTGTCCTGACATTGATGGAAACAATCTTGAACAGATTTCTGAAAAAAAAAAAAAAATTCATTGATGACCTAAACGGCCTTAACCCACTATCTATCTTCAAATTTCAGCCATAATTGTTTGTCAAGTAAAAAAAAAATATAAATTATATATAAATATATATTTAACAAGAGGATGTTAGCTATATCTCCACTGGTACAAGAGCATGTTAGCTATATCTCCACTGATACAAGAGGATGTTAACTATATCTCCACTGATACAAGAGGATGTTAGCTATATCTCCACTGGTACAAGAGCATGTTAGCTATATCTCCACTGGTACAAGAGCATGTTAGCTATATCTCCACTGATACAAGAGCATGTTAGCTATATCTCCACTGATACAAGAGGATGTTAGCTATATCTCCACTGATACAAGAGGATGTTAGCTATATCTCCACTGGTACAAGAGCATGTTAGCTATATCTCCACTGGTACAAGAGGATGTTAGCTATATCTCCACTGGTACAAGAGGATGTTAGCTATATCTCCACTGGTACAAGAGGATATTTAACATGAGGATGCTAGCCATATTTTAACTGGACAAGAGCCGCTTAACAAGAGTATGTTAGCTATATTTCAACTGGTTGTATTTAACAAAACGAAGTTAGCTATATTTCACCAGGGACAGGAGGATGTTAGATATATTTGATTTAACAAGAAGTTGATGTTTTTCAATACTTAACTACTATTCGAAATCAATTTTGGCCATAAAGATAAACAATTAAATTAACCTATTTCCTACCAGGACCTCTTTTGACCCAATTCGTGCCGATTCGTTTCAAAATGGATTAAGAACTCTGATTCATTACCTCCAGAATTCTTAAATCTGATTCCCTAGGAGGGAAGGACTTCTTTTGCAATTCTACAAATGGTATTACAGAATTTCCTGTTAAAGACATCATGTTTCCTATCTTCTTGGTACTTGGTATAGAAGTTACTGATAACAGTGGACCAAATATAGAGTGATTTTCAAAATATATTCCCTGTAAAATTAAGTAACAAATTATTTCCAAAATACATTCCCTGTAAAATATTAGTAACAAAATATATTCCCTGTAAAATATCAGTAACAAAATATTTCCAAAATATATTTTCCAGAAAAGATAATATATAAAACCTATCTCAGTAGTGCTGAGTTTTGTGTTTTTCTGTAACTGATAGGGGGGTTGGATGGCCGAGTTACTATATCATAAGGCCCGTCATTAAGTCAATTTGCGTGGTTTCGAATCCCCGGTTGTACGTGACAAGGAGTAGGGTTGCCTGTCCAACCTCGTGGGTTTTCTCCGAGTCCTCCGGTTTCCTCCTATTTTGTGTAGAGTGGACGTTAAACCCCATTTCTCTCTCTCTCTGTAACTGATAACCTGACTACTTTGTGTGCACATTAATTTCCTTTGTTATATAAAGAGCATAAACTTAACATAAATTCATAAACCTCTGAATGAATTTGAACGGCATATATGTTATGACGTTAAAATGGGTCAAAATTTATCTTTAGCCTTAAATCTGGCAAAATAAATCTACGGTACACAACATGGTTTTATGAAAATCTGTAAAATACTTACCAAATCCTCAGCTGCATTTTTAATCTCTTCTTGTAAAACCACTGCTAGAACGGAACTCAAATTTACCTGTTAAATGAACAGAAATGAAATGACGTTAACCATTCTAATTCCCTGCATCAATGGAGATAAGGAAGATGGACATATGCCATGCAATTTGTAATGAGGGAATTTTGCCCTGACAGCAGCTCTATGGCCTGCTCTTATTTTGAAGTACAGTAGTGTAAGGAATAGATACAGTCACTAAATAGGTTTGTTTTAACAATAAATATACTCTTACATTGCTAAGTAAAATTTCTAATCCTTTCAATGTATTGCTCTCTTGTAGAACCATCTCATCCAGTCTGTAAAATAAACAATCAACAAATCATTAAATATGGAGTCCTGTATTTCACATGGTATCTGTTGAAAGGGCAGCTTAAACTATATTATTGAGCAGTTCGGATTTGACTTGTGATAGTCGTTTACGTATTAACACAAACTAATTCATTTCGGGACTAACATATGGTTCAATATTATTTCAATAATTTGCTTGCACATAGGGATCTTTGGCAGATGAAGGAAAACCAAGGACCCAGAGAAAACCTATGAAGTTTGACAGGGGACCGTACTCCTGGTCGACCGGTTAATGGGACAGACTCAGAACCATTCTTACAATGATGACTCCCTGGTAAGCCTAATCCGCCGTACGTGCTACTACAGGGGAAATTGTAGTAAACCCATGCGTGAGACTTATGCTTCACTTGTGTGTGTTCGGCACCGTAGAAGATCGCAGAATGGCCGTAGAGACTTTTGGTCCTGAACATATAAAATTTTCACCCTGTTTCTTGCTGCTGGTCTGTGAGATACCAAACCTGTGCATGTCAAAACACATACGATGGGTTCTGAGCTAGGCTTTAGAAATAAACATTTTGTTACAAGACAAAACACATAAATATTATCTTCATACCGTTTCACTTTCTTGATCTGTTTACCAGCAGCTTGTATCAGAGCTACTAAAAAATCAACACATCTGTTGCCATGACAACTATAATCAAGGAGATTGGACAACAAACTAGGTGACACAACAACGCCATCTTCGGACCACCCGGAAATTCTACGTAAAAATACAACAGCATCATTCTGAAGAGAAAAACAGAGTAATTTTAGAATGATACACATACAAGGCAGTATATCGTTGGTGAGGAATCTGGCATATTTTAAGAAATTCACCCTTTAGCTTATACAAAATCAAGACATCTTTTTGTTCATATTTTCATCGTTTTTAGAATATACAAGATTTTGATGTTCGGTTTTTATACAATGTCATGACTCTTAACCGCTAGGCATTTTATGGTTATGCTGAACAATTTCGCAAAACCTAGACATGACCCTTTAACCATGTAGCGAAAATATATCAGAAGAATCACTTCAAATCTTGCAGGTATTCATCCTGACATTCAGTTTATTATGGTACTTTGTGGCTTGTTGTTTCTTTCATGTCATTGTGAAAGAATTTGCTACTTGCCTTGACAATTTTGGTTTGTCTGGTCTGTGTGGGTGTGCAATTGTGTGTTGTTGGGTAGGATAACCTGCAGACGGTGAGCACTCCCTTCCACCAGTCCCATTACCCCTAAGCACATTTATTGCATTATATTATTGCTACTTTATTCTATTTTTTTTTAAATTTTGCATCCCTCCCCTAAAACTTTTTCACACAGGGTCCTGCTTACCATACGCCAGTGCTGTGCAGAAAAAAGGATATAATTAAAGCAACATAAATAAAATAAAGATACTAACAGCAACATTTTTAGTACCAAAGTCAGTCCACAGGTCATCTGCTGCACTAGCTTCACCATCTTCTGATAAAATAAAATTATAAATCATGACAACATGACGCTCATGACAACATGACGCACATGTAAATACGGTGGACCAAAACCTTCAACTCATAATATTGATAAATTAATAGTGAAACCTCAAAAGGTTGCATGCAGGTAATACATTTTTTAAAGGCATGAACCTATTATTTCTTGCCTTTAATCAGTCACATTTCTTTCATTATTTACAGTTGCTCAGAATATGATAAATTGAGTGCCAGCATGATGAAAACAGAGTACATCACAGAACCACTGGAAACAACGGTGGCTTAGTGAGTGAGACACTATCTCAGTGAATAAGGCACTGGCTTAGTGAGTGAGACACTGGCTCAGTGAGTAAGGCACTGGCTCAGTGAGTAAGGCACTGGCCCAGTGAAAAGCACTGTCTCAGTGAGTAAGGCACTGTCTCAGTGAGTAAGGCACTGTCTCAGTGAGTAAGGCACTGTCTCGGTGGGTAAGGCATTGTCTCGGTGAGTAAGGCACTGTCATGATGAGTAAGGCACTGTCTCAGTGAGTAAGGCACTGTCTCAGTGAGTAAGGCACTGTCTCAGTGAGTAAGGCACTGTCTCAGTGAGTAAGGCATTGTCTCGGTGGGTAAGGCACTGTCTCGGTGGGTAAGGCATTGTCTCGGTGAGTAAGGCACTGTCTTGGTGAGTAAGGCACTGTCTCAGATAGTAAGGCACTGTCTCAGTGGGAAAGGTGCTGTTTCTTTAACCTCAAGGTTCGGGGTTCAATCTCAGTGTTTGTCAGGATTTTCCAGCTTTGTCTTCCTTGTCTATTCATTTGGATGGACTGATTAATAATCATCTGAGGTTTCGTGTACACGATGGTGTGTTAGTAAAAGAACCCTTGACATTTGGAATTCAAAATAAGAGTAGGTTGTTGCATCGCTGTCCAGGGAAAATTTCCCTCATTGCACAGGAAATGGTGTGTAAGCCTGTCTGCATAAGCCCAGTCAGTGCAGAAAAGTAAGACATCATCATTTCATTTATTCAAACAGCCAGCATAATAAAGACAGAATTAAAGACAGAACCAGTTATGAACATCAAGGTGTTTATTCAAATGGCTGAACCACCAGCAAGATGATATAACATACCTGCTTTAATAGTTTCAAATATCACACTGATAGCTTTATTCTTCAGCCATTTTGATGCTGATATAATCAGATCATTATGTTTTATCTCCGGTTCTCGTACTTCACACTCATCAAAAGTATTTAAAACATATTTTATTTTATTAATCTGACGAGGAATAATCAATTTTATGACAGCGCCTATTTTTTCTGGAATATCATCTGAATGAATAGGAAAATCTGACTCCTTAATTGTTAGTGATCCTAGAGAATAATGGGTCTTTGAATTTTTAATTTCCTGAAAAGAATGTAAATAATATATAAAATATTTTTGGAACAAAACGAATCGGTGAGACTTTAGAAAATGTCTGTCATTCAGGTTAGCCATATTGACCGTAACTTAAAATTGTTTACCCAGATTAAATGGGTAAAAGAACTCAAAAACAATGTGTAAGCTCTACATTGTTTACCCAGATTAAATGGGTAATACAACTCACTAACAATTTGTAAACTCTTCACTGTTTACCTAGATTATATGTGTAAGCTCTACACCATTTACCCAGATTAAATGGGTAACTCAAAAACAATGTGTAAAGCTCTAAAGCTCTACACCGTTTACCTAGATTATGTGTGTAAGCTCTACACTGTTAACCTAGATTATATGTGTAAGCTCTACACTGTTTACCTAGATTATATATAAGCTCTACACTGTTTACCTAGATTATATATAAGCTCTACACTGTTTACCTAGATTAAATGGGTAACAGAACTCAAAAACAATGTGTAAAGCTCTACACTGTTTACCCCGATTAAATGCGTAAAAGAACTAAACAGTACAAATTATTTACTTCCCAGGTGGTAATATGCTTCAGACAGAATTATTGAATTATTTCTCACTTTTTTCTGGCCATGTTGTTTTTCCTCTGGGAATGTATAACTACCTATGCAGTCTCAGTTGCACTGCTTGTCTTGTTCTTGTATTTTGTGTGTGATCTATTAAAATATGATATAGGCCTACTTACTATTTTACAATTCAAAACACTCTCTAGAAATTCTACAAGCGTAAGTTGTTTTGGTTTTTCTTTGCTGAATGGTTTAGGGGTTGTCGTAGAACTGACATCATCTGTTCCAGGTTTATCAGCAGCTTGTTTCGATACTGTTTTTTCTTTGTCTTTAAAATGACCATCTTTAACGTCAACTTTTGATACCACATCGGGCAGTTTCTCATCATCTTTCTGCTTTGACGTTTCATCAACAACTTGATCTAAGTTTGTTTTTTCTTTGACTTTTAAATGACTATCTTTGACATCAAGATTTGGCATCTTGTCTGGTGGTTTCTCATTAGTTAATGGTTTATCTTCCAGAGTATCGTCTTTGTTTGATGAAGATTGTGTTCTACTTTCATTTTTATTTTGTTGTGAAATTCTATTAAGCCATTCTTCACGTTTTATTGCGCCTGATCCTAGAAACAAAAACACACAAAACGGGATTTATTCATATATATATACTCAGTTTGGAATATTAAAATGTAGAAAAAATGAAAAATAGGAAAGCAAGAAATTATATGTATATCTAACTGTAATTTTTCAGCATGGTTTCCCCTTATCAGTGGTGTATAACAGAGGGCATGGCAAGGACAGCATCTAGTCATTCGGATGGAACAAAAAATGGTCCTAATTGCACACTGTATGGTGTATGCCTGTCTTCATTAGCCCAGTCGGTGAAGAAAGGTAGCATGTTAACCCAATTTCATTTCATTTCTGAAGAAATTTCATAAATTTTGAAAACTTTTCTACATGTACTTACCAGCAGGAGTCTGTATATTTTGATTTGATGGTATTTCTTGGTTGGTAAGAAAAAACACCAGGGCCGTTACCATGACACCTAACACTGTGGCTATAATTATAGATGGTAAAATCCAGTTAGAGGCTTGTTTCTTTTCTCCTTCATTCTTTGTTTCAATTTTCCTTTTATTTTCTTCTGAAACATCCTTTTGATTTTCTTCATTCTCTTCGGAACCATCTGTCTCCTCTTTTTCTTCCTATAATGTTAATATGAAGTGCGACATATAAACAATGTGAAAACATAATGTTAATATCAAATGAGATCATATAAACAATGTGAAAAACATAATGTTAATATTATTATGAAGTGAGTTCATATAAACAATGTGAAAAACATAATGTTAATATGAAGTAAGCTCATATAAACAATGTGAAAACATAATGTTAATATGAAATGAGATCCTATAAGCAATGTGAAAAATCTAATTTTATTATTATTATGAAGTGAGTTCATATAAACAATGTGAAATATATAATGTTAACATGAAGTGAGCTCATATAAACAATGTGAAAAACATAATATTATTATCAAAATTTATACCACCCAATACAAACTCAATACTAGCTAAAGCTTACTCAATACCATCTGATACTAACCCAATAACACACAATAATAACCAATACTAACCTAACACTACTGAATACCACCCAAAACTAACCCTATACAACCCAATACTAACCTAATATTACAAAATACCACGCAATACTAAATAAATACCACCAAATACCACCCAATGCTAACTAGTTTGTGTTGTGTGGGTATTAAACTCCATTTCCCTCTAACTGTCTCCCTCTTGTTACCTGTCTTTACCTGTAAAGTTTTGTCTTTATGTTGATGTTTATCTATTGCTGCAGTTATATAAGAATAACTTAATTCTATTTCAGCAACATCAAGGATGCCATCTCCATTTACATCATATTCAGATAAAGCAACACTTAAATCCTGAATTAATAAATAAAAAATAAAAATAGGTTATTAGGCTAAAGACGTGATCTGTCCAGAGTTTTTCCACATTCAGAACTTATTCAGTTTCCTCTCCCCCTGGTCATGGAAAAGACGGCAGCCAACATGTTTTCCAGCCTACAAAATTGTTCTCTAGCGAACTCTGAACAATGAACATAGTGATCAAACAGGGGAACATGACAGTGGGCCATTGGGCAAGTCTGTACAAAATATAGGGCAGATAGATATCAGAACATAACCAATATTATGTAATTTACACATCGTCTTTAACATGTTTTTTTATTTATAAAAAAAAACAACCCTCACAATGCACATTTTGACATTTCCATGCCAAGTCACTGTTGACTGTGTGGTATTTAGTGTGGTGATCACACCTGGAGTGGTGATTAATACGATATAGAATCTAGAAACATTTTCTTGCTCAACCTTAATTCCAGGTGCTTTCTATTTCTACAGATTTTCAAATCCTCATCCAGATTCGAGATACATCAATGGGAAGTTTGTAATCGATGTTCAATACTTACTGGGTTGGTTTCTTTAATTTCCACAAGACTTAGAGTTTCATCTTCATCTTCAACTTCATCTTGTCCATGACATACATTTATCTCACAGGCAAACAACAGAGCAAAAATCCTAAAATTAAAATCAAAACACTTTCCAATTACCTGTTTCTTAAAGGCTTGACAACACATCACAAAAAAAGTGGGAAAGCTTGGTTACTAAAATATTTTGGGAATTATTAATCAACTAGTTAAAGGAGCTAAATCGCTAATATTTGGGACCTACAAATTGACACAAATGGGTCGCAACGTATATAATAATGTAATATGAATGTAAATAAACTGATTTCCATTCAATGGTTTCTGTTTTTACTCTAATTTCGAAGCAGTTATGTTCGACAAAATACGCCAATGGCAATCTTTAGCGTCTGGTTATTCCAGTCTACACCAATAGTATTTATTGCGCATGTTGTCCAGATAAGAATTTGGTCACCGTTTGACATGACTTGTGGAATATGTCTAACCTCGTTCTTCGAGTCGCTTGTTACAAAATGTTTATTTTGTCTTAAATATTGGATACCGGTATCAGAAGCCCATCTTTTTCCGGTAAGATCATAACACCAATGTTGACTAAAATTGACAAATAATTCGTGTTTTCAATGTCGAAGGTTTTGGATGATATTGAGTAAGAGACTTAGCTACTTTAAGTTACCCAGCATTGATCAGGTGAGTGTATATAGTTCTGATTTTGAATTAAGAATTGCAAAGAAATTAAAGAGTTTTCCTGAAGGTAATGGGTAGTCTAGAAAAGTATGGTGTGTTCTACAATGTTTCGATAACAACGCAATAATCACAAATTTTTAATTTCATCACTAATTACTGCACTATCGGTAAATACAAAATATTACCAAGTTATTTAAAGAGTTCAAGCGTTTGATTTTCTAGTGCACCTACAAACTTTCTCTTGTATTTACATAGATAAAATATACTGAATTAAACATCCAGTACGGGCTTCATGTATACATGTACATATTTATACCGTATATAAATACTGAAGTAACATACAAACCTCAGACATTATGTCATAATTAGTTCAAAGACCCTCCAAGACCTCTCAGAGCTTTTTGGACAGAAAATTTCAGCCCTGATTTAGGGGTATAATCTACTGACAACATCGCATGAGTTTTTGCTAATTTGGGGTAACAATCATTACCATATCCGACTGTATACATGCCATGTAAACACTATAATTAACAAATGGGGAGAGAGAGAGAAATAGGATTTAACGTCCACTCGAAACAAACTAGGTCATTTCGGGACTAACATATGGTTTAATTTTATTTCAATAATTTGCTTGCGCGTAGGGGTCTTTAGCAGTGGGAAGAAACCGGAGGACCCGGAGAAAACCCACAAGGTTGGACAGGCGACCCTACTCCTTGTCACATACAACCGGGAATTCGAAACCACGACAGTCGACTCAATGACAGACTTTATGATACAGCGCGCGCACGCTAACCGTTCAGCCATCCAACCCCCCATTAACAAATGGTTAACAGCATTGAAACCTTCGCTACTAGTACTATAAGAATACCAGACATTCTTTCATATAGTATACTGTTCTACCCAACAACGTTCTACCCAACATCTATCTGTCTTGTTATGAGAAGCCTAGCTGCGAGGGATATGTTTGATATCTCAGATTATGTCAGTAACTCTAACCATTTTAGGAGAATTAATGTTTTGTAAAATATATTGTTTTTATAAACTGTTATTATTATTTGTTTGTTATAACACAGTGCGCTTATCACAGCGGCACAGGTAAGAGAGAAATGGGGTTTAAGGTCCACTCCAATAACATATGCCTATATGGTTAAATTTTATTTCAATAATTGGCTTGCGAGTAGGGGTCTTTTGCAGTGGGAGGAAACTGAACAACCCGGCGAAAACGTACAAGCAGGAATCGAAACCACGCCATTTGACTCACAGACCTGATGATGCAACGCGCACTCATTAACCATTCGAAAATCCAACACAGCCCCCCCACCCCCTCACATGAAAGAAAACATGTAAATTACTAATTACCAGCCCAAAACAATGAATTTTCTCCAAATCTTCATTTCTAACTAACTTAAGGAAAGTGTGTGCTTATAATAACAACTATAAAATCAACACATATGTGTCATTTTGCGGTAACACGTGTCAAAATGTGAGAGACGATCGTCTACTTTCGATTTCTCAAAAATATTGACGTTGCTGGCGAGCGAATTTCCATTCATATGTCCGCTATCAGATCTAGACACTGTTTATCTTTCTTCTTTGGAGGATGTAAGGGTGTAACTGAAAACAAGCCCTGTCGTAAAGAAATATAAAAGTATTTCTTATTTGTAACAGATCGGTGTTTTCCTCGCAATAAATACACGATCAATGCAGGAAATAACAGAGTTGACCTTTGACCTTGACCGTAAAACTTAGAGTTATTTCCCCTGAATGGAAAAGACACATGGTTTAAAAATTCTAAAAAATTATAAAGTTCTGCGAATTCAAATTGCATACAAAACATGTAGGTAATTTATTTGCCGTTAGAATATCGACTCCAGGCCTGCACGTCACTTACAAGTAGATGCACGCAACTGAAGTATCTCACAAATTTGATTTTTTTTTTTTATCCCTGAACCTAAAAATAAAATGTAAAAAAGGGCCGCCATTTCCACAAAGTTATCTCTGTTGATGGCCTTGGCATGTCAGCTCCGCACAATAGGGCCAACTGTCACCAAAGTTAATTTGTCTAACCTAGGTCAAGGTGGCGATGACCCTAGGCCTAGCCTAGGTATGTCAACTCTCCAACTATCACCCATTAGCCTAGCGGCCATCTCTGGGTCTTACCCCCTGGGCCCATCAATAGCTGGGTAAACTTCGATTTTTTTTTTCATCCCTAAACCTATGTTTAAAGGGCCACTATTTCTACGAAGTTATCTCTGTGGTGATCTGACCCGTGGTATGGATTAACTAGCCTATTCTTTTCGGTTTGAACAGTATATGTATAGCATAGATATACTGATTTACAAATTGGGTTTGTGTGAGTGTGACTGACAATGACGATACCCCCTTTTCACTGTTGGTGCAAGGCCACCAGTGATAATTTCAGCCAGGGGCCCATACCATACAAGCTAGACCCAGCCCTGGATATCCCTCACAGATGCATTAGCTAGGGTACCACGGTGGTATGCGCTTTAGACCATACGGTCTGTCACTGGGTCAAAGGTTATTTTCCGTCTCAATTACGTGACAAGGAGTAGAGTTTCTGAACATGCGAATTATTAAAATAAAAATTATACCCTATGTGAGTCCAGAAATGTTTGTGTTCATTGCATGGACATTAAATCCCATTTCTCTAATTATCCTACTCCACGATCCCCTGTTCCGGAGTTATACCCCTTTTCTGAAGACCCTGTGAATGCTGGAGCATTGTGGTTAAGAGAGAACGAACCCTATCCATATACAGCGTTGTGCTACGTCCCGTTCCTGGGTTACGCCCCTTTCCGAAACACTTGGGAACATGATATAAGGTACAATTTGTTTACAATGTCATGCTTTGAGTCATTGGGGTTCTAAGAGGGCGAAACCTATTCATATCATTTACATGCGATAGAGACTAAGAGTTTTTAAAAGATTTTTGACGAGCTTATTAACACGATAGAGATAAGATTTCTTGAATGCATAACGGGTCCTTATCAAATTTGGTCAACATTCGAGTTTTCCATTCAAATAACCTGCTGTCATTGGCTTAGTCTTTCCTAGACTTAGTTGCAATGTTGAGATATTGGCAAGCTTTATAACCTGGTCATGTTTTAAAAATTCGTCTGTATTGAAAAAAATATAACTGTAGTTTTTCTACAAAAATTCTGATAATCCTTCATACAGTCGGACAGTCTGGACGAATTGAACAAATTCTGGTGATATGAAATGTGCTACGTTTTTTCACCAACCGGTATAAAGAAGACGGACATACGTCACGCAGTGAGTTATGAGAAAAAACAGCATACTCCACGCAGGTCATTGCATCAGGAACATACCCTGATAGTGGCGTTTCAACTTATACTCTGATCGAATTCCAACTACTAAGAGGTCTCTCACGTTAACGTTAATACACGAACTTCTATTTTTCGCAATATCCAAAAAGTTTAATATAAGATAACAATTTGATTTTTTTCAGCCACTTTTCCAACATCTAAAATATGGAGACTCGACAGGCAAAACAGAAGGCAAGACTGAAGAAAATTAAAAAACTGATAAAGTACAAACCGCATAGAATAAACGACCCGGATGACCCCCCACTCATTGAAGAAGCGGCTAACTGCAATGCCGAATGTGTTGAGGCATTGTTATATGCTGGGGCTCATGTAGATCTGGATAACTCTTATGAAACACCCGTGTATAGATGTTTAATAGCAGAAGACGTACCTTCAAAAGACAAACTGGAATGTTTGAGGGTGTTGCTAAGATTTGGTGTTGATTTGTATGAAGAACAGTCAGATGATGAGATGACACCATTGATGCTAGCTGCGTTTCATGGCGAAACAGAGTGTTTAGAAGAAATACTGAAAGTAGGCTATCTCAATGGACTTACCCCAAGTCAATACGCGACAAAGATGTCAGTGTCTCCGGGATCAAATGACGGTGGGTCAAGAGCGAGGTCCGCCAGGTCACCATCGGCTCGTAGATTTCCAAATAAATTCACGCCATTTGCTTTTGTGGGGAGCGATCTTCCATCGTACGAAGAATATCAGGAGGTATATAAAACAGATGTAGATTTTAGAGATTTTGACAACTATACAGCCTCTTTATACTGCTTGTGCCCCTTTAAGACAAAATCTCCTGCTATAATGATGGCTTGTCTTAAATTGTTACACGATGCCGGAAGTGATTTCCATCTTAAAGTAATAGGGTGTGACAGCATAATAAATGAAGCTCTGAAAACAGATCTTTCTGTTTTTAGATACTTGACTACGCTTGGCTATAACATGGATCCTAATGATGGCTTATTGATAGCTGTGGGTATTCCTAATATCAGTACAGTTCATTTCATGTTGAACGAAGGTGCAAGCTTAACAATGGTACATCCTGCAAATGGGGCCACGCCCCTCCATATTATTATTCTTGGACAGCACAGAAATAGGGCATTACCAAAGGAGGAAAGACACAACAAAATGAAAGAAATGATCCGATATTTAATGCAGAATAATGTTAACGTTTCTTCTCATTTAGATGGTAGACACACAGCTCTGAATCTGTCCTTTCTTAAATTAGACGAGTTCAGTTTTGCACGTGAGTACCTTTTGTCGGAGAACATTTCTCTTGGGCAAACATCGTACCGGTCTCTTAAATCCTGTTATGAATTATGCGAGCAGGCTGAATTTTTCCAAGGGAAGACAAAACTAGATCTATTGAAATTTTTACATACATGCGGTTTATCTACCAAATCCTGTCTGACATTTAAAGAAGATGAAGATCCTGGTTCAGCAGTAAACCAATGGTTGGATAAAATGGCGTCTTCAGCACAATCATTGTTTACGATCTGTAAACATCGAGTGCGTGGATTATTGGGACGTGACATCAAGAACAAAGTTCCTGGTTTAGACATTCCCACTCACTGTCAAGATTTGCTTCTTTTAAAGGACGTCCTATCTTCAGAATGTTTTCAGTAACAATTAGTGTGAATTTCGTATTAGAGGCCAAGTTCAAATCGTGTTAATTTAGTAATTAAGCCTAAGTTTCATTGTGCAAAGTTAGTACACGTAATTGAGGTGAAATCCAATTCGTGCGAATTTCGTAATTGAGGCTAAGTCAATTTTTTGTAAATTTAGTAATTGAGCCTAATTCGAATTTTGGCTAATTTAGTAATTTGTACGAATTCAGTACAATATCCAACTCTATGTTTGTGTTTTTGAATTTGTGAACAATATATAAATCGTGTTCTAGCTAAATCTAAATGTGTTGTTGTTTTTTAAATGTGTATACTATCTATATTGTGGTTCGTTCAAATGATGTTGCTGTGTAGCATAGGGATGTGACAAGTCTATGTCTAAACTTACTCCTCGCAGTGTTTCGTTTAATTAGAGCTAATCCCACTACTCACTGCTGTAAAGAAGGCTAATTCTTTTTCTAAATTATGACTGGTCAATAGTCCGATTAACAACCAATAGCTAACGGCGTAACAATACCAAACAGAGTTCCAAATTGGACCAAATATGTTTACATAACGTTACGTCATGACTCACAATTTTATTATGCTCAAATAACCAGTGCATAGAATATTGCAGAAAAACTAATTGTGTGACAAACGAGGTTATCAACAGACATATAATGTAAACAAAACTGTTTTCAGACGAACAACACTTTCACCGTTTTTAATACCTTAAATCACTGTCCAAAGTTTTAGGGAAGGACCTGATTAAAAGAAGGGCTGTCAAATTGCTGTACTTGGGGATAGTTTTGATTGAACGGGAAGAATAGACACACTCTCTTAAAAGCGCAAGTATCAGAAGCTAATCCAGCAATGGCCAGAGAGGGATTTCTCGGGCCATTGCTTCAGGAATATGATGTCTAAACTGCCTGCCAGGTTTCTCCCGTGTTTGGTATCGTGATGGATTGGGTGATTTGTTTTTGTTCAAAATTGATCGAAAAATAGTCTTTGTCTGACTATTTCGGAACATCAGACACCTATCTGATTGGATATTCGCTAGTTAAGAACTCTATTTGCTTCATTTTAGTTTTAGAACGCGTTTGTGAGAGCACCAGACAGAAGGTGTTAAGGCTGCATTTTTAGATTTGGACTACATTGGTTCATAGGTTGAGGTAGACCAGAACACATAGATATATAGTGTTCTGGTACTACCCCCACATAAGATATCAGGCTGATCCTCCAGTTCATGACGATCATTGTTAACGATATGTAAACATCGAGTACGTGGATTATTGGGACGCGACATCAAGAACAAAGTTCCTGGTTTAGACATTCCCACTCACTGTCAAGATTTGCTTCTTTTAAAGGACGTCCTATCTTCAGAATGTTTTGAGCAACAAGTGGTTTGAATTTCGTATTTTGAGGCTGAGTTTTATTCATGCGAATTGGTAATAGACGCAAAGTCCAATTTGTGTAAATTTAAAAATTGAGGCAAAGTCCAATTGATGTAAATTTCGTAATCGCGGGAAATCCCAATTCGTGTGAGTCCAATATAACACGTGTCACCAACAGTCTACAGGGAAGACATTTCAGGCTGATATTGAACACCCAAAGAAGACATTCTATTGCCTGTACAATGTTTTGGGCAACAATCATAAGAGTGACTCGAATTGTACGTATCATTGCTTGTGGCCATATTTACGTATTTTATAATATTACAAATTCCAGGCGTCTACAAGTATAAAACACAGGACTGGTCGTCGGAATTTTTCTGTGTGATTTGATTCCCATTATCTGTGGTGCAGAAAAGAGGGCAAGGGACATCGTCTGTCGTTTGGATTATGCACCAGTTAAAATACGAAATAAATACAGGCCGTAGCGCCGCCGTCCGGCAACAATTCCCTTTAGCAAGCAAACTGCATGGCGCTTGTCTTTATTAGCCGGGGTGGCGAAAAATGAATGGAAAGTTAAACATCCATTTAATTTACGAGGCACGATTGAGGGTTTAAGAAGTTAGATAAATGCGAGTCCATGCTTTACAGAATGACTTAGGTATTTCAATATTGTTAGTTTTGTATAGATTTCGAAATATTAAGTTAGTGCTTAATACAAACGAGCTAAAGTGCTTCATTTTAAAATTTGTTTACAATATCCAAATTTTAATATTTTGTGTTCTTAAATTTGTGTACAATGCCCAAATCTATGCTTAGTGTTTTGAGATCGTAATCAATATCTCAGTCTGAATGCTTTACGTGTTGAAATATTCAAATTTAAATGTTTTGTGTCTGTAAATTTATTACAATATCCAAATCTATTTGTTGTCTTTGAAAATGTATGTACAATATCCAAATCTATGTTTTGTATTGTGTTTGTAAATTTGTGTTCAATATATAAAGCGTATTCTAGCTAAATCTAAATGTCTTGTTTTTTAAAAAAAAAATTGTATATTAGTCTGCATTGAGGTCGTTCAAATGATTGTGCTCCGTAGCATAGGGATGGGACAGGTCTGTGTCTTAACTGCCTGCCAGCTTTACCCCATTGAACAAATAAAACGAAAACAAAAAATAATTCCGATATGAAATATTAAATCTTTAGGAAAATGAATAATAATCGAATCGAAATTAGGAACAGACAAATATCTTTTAGGATTGAAGTTACTCTCATATTTTAGTGCGGGTGTATAGGAAAGGCTCATATTTGAATGAAATAAAAAAAAATATATAGTTCGCCAAAAAACGAAGCATACTTCCTCAGCAGCTAAATTATCCATGCGATAAGGGTTGTCGCATATTGATTCTTTTGTAAATAATGGGGGTGGGGGGCATATACAAGACAATTTCATTCAGATTATATTATAATTTCGTCGATTGAGGGTTCACAAGGTTAGACAAACTGAAACAAGATTCTTATCTCTGGAAGTAACTTACAGATTTTTAAAAAAATTCAACAAGCATCTTCGATGGACTATATGATGGATATAAATTTCATACAGATCGGAAGATAGCGTCGACACGGTGTAACAAAGCGAACTAACGGAAATAATTGAAAAAAGATAGGGTTCTTCGTTTCACTAATGTAGGCTAAACATATCAATTTCAAAACAATCAGATGACAACGACGGGCGGAAGAACGGCGGTGACGAAAATATACGACCACATCTCCATGTGGGCGTATAAAAATCACAGCCAATATGCTTGGGTCGTAAATTATTCCAAACTTCCGTGAAGAACTGCAAACACGGGAATATATAGACACTTATTTTAGTTTTTGGTACATAGGTAGGGGTATTACCAGAACACATAGATATAGAATATCAGACTGATCCTCCCGTTCATGACTGAGTAAATTGAGAAAAACAAATTGAGCGCTTACTGTCCCCCTATGGTGGCTGATTAGTATTATATCGTGGTATCGTGGTGTCGCCCAACATAAAGCATCACGACATTTTAATGCGACACCATGACAACCCGACAACCCTACATCACGATATTTTAACCTCACACCACAATATCAAAAATATCGTAATGCCGCGTAAAAATGTCGTATTCGTATTGTCGGGTTAAAATGTCGTAAGGTCGCGTAAAAATGTCGGTTAGTTGTCGAGTTATCGGCCATATTCCTCTCAATCCTATGATTATGTACACTGGTTCTAGTGTTGGTCAAGAAACAAGAAAATTCCCTGGGATTTTGCAGCGTGGTTTCTCCCTGGAGGTCGCGTGTTCGATCCCTGCATTGGCCGAGAAAGTTCATCGGGATTTTCCGACGTGGTGCCAGTGGTGTCGGGGGGCCTGACAAGGACAGCTGTCTAGTCGTTCGGATGGGACGAAAAACCTAGGGCCCGTGTATACATTGACGTGCACGTAAAATATCCCTTGACAGTTGGAATTCAATATAAGAGTGTGCCATAGTTTCCCTCATATATGACATATGCCCGTCTTCATTAGCCTGGTCGGAGCAGAACAGTAGGACGTTAAACCCCATTACGTTTCACTTCATTTCCATGTCGGTAATGCATGACAAAGGGTCTGGTAAAGAACAATGGCGTGCACATAAAAGAAACCTTCAGGGTTGACATTCGATGAAGAAAGGCCGCGATCCATTGAAAATTTATGTTGTATCACTCTGCATAGCCTAACTTCAATAGTCCGATTGGTGCAGAAAAGTAGGAAAATTCAATGAAATGAAATTGGGTTTAACGTCCTACTGTCATGCTCTGACTGGGCCGATGAAGGCGGGCATACGTTATACAGTGTACTGTGAGGCAAACCTTGTCCGGATAGCGGCTCTACGGCCTACTCATAATATATTGAAATCCAACTGCCGGGGGAGGGGTGTCTTTTACGTGCCCGCTAATATGTACATGGAACCCCGATTGTTTCGTCCCATCCAATAGTAGGTTCTGCTGCCTAACCTCCTGTGTTTTCTCTAGTTCACCCCATTCGTTCGTTCGTTTCTGGTGTTTTACGTCCACTTCCACCTAAGGTGATATCGTAGACAAGGATGTTTCCTAAGAAACTTACTGGAGGAAGCCGTATGGATTAGGCTTGGTCCAGTTTGATTTGAGACATAGTGTCTTAGCAGGGAATGCCCAAGTTAAAAATCTCATCGAAAGGAGCGGAGAAAGTTTTGGGGTAGAAAAGGCCGGGGTGGCGAGCGGGCGCAGTCTGGTCCGCTTTGCCATAAATATAAATGTTACGATCTTTGTTTTGGGTGGGTAGGGGTAGGTAGGACTGTCAGCCGGACCCCAGGGCCCTAGTTCACCCCAGTCTCACACAACTAAAATACAATTAATTAACTATCTCCCTAAGCCAATTAACTATAACCAACACACGTAGCTTCAAATCTCTTTGGGTTTTAATTAAAGGATTATCCATTAATCCTACATTATATTGCAGAGAACACAAGACAACACATAAACTATTATTCCACTCCAAATTTGTTTAAATGAAAATATAAAATCAAAAGTAACAATAAAGTTATACTTCATTTCAAGATGCATTATGCTAGAGGCAAATCTGCCTATAGCAGACTATTCCTTTAGGCCTGAAATTTTATCTAAATTATTAATTAGACATTTATTTATATGTCAGGTCCTTAATTAACTCTGTAGAAATTTGGATGATTTTGATTTTCAACAGATTTAAATACGATTGGCGGATAATGGCTAGTCGCGACTTTGTTTACGATCGTAACAATGATAATCGAGACTACTCTGTTCTCTAAGCAGTCCTAACATC